TGTAATGATCAAATAAAAATGGTAAATATTTTTGACAATACCAAATAAAGTCAAGTTCCGTTGTTATCGACTTCATTTGTGTTTCAAGCGTTTCGCCAGGAAAAACTGGTGCGGCAAGCCGACCTTTTATACTCTTAAAATTGTTAGGATCACTGTTGCAATATTTTGTAAACACATGCTTGCCGGATATACTATAAGTACACATTCCATGAAGAATTGGTACTTCAAAACCACCCATCGCAGACATGCTAGGATCGATATGCAACGGATTATAATCTCCGTTTAGGCGATATAGGGCAGCTTGCGATTCTAGAGTTTTTTCTCTTACAACTGTATCCGGGGGACGTTTTGGTGGTGTATTTGGCGCAGTGGCTAGACCCCGATCAGCACCAGTTTTTTTACCACCAAAGCCACCAATTCCACGTATGAATAAGGTTGATTCATTTTCAAATATGACATCACCTTTTTCATCTTTGGTAGTTACACCAAGAATAACTGATACTCCTTTGCCTTTATCAAGAATATCGATGAGACGCGGCGTTGAAATGAATTTGCCAGATGTTGGAATGGGTTTCTTGAGTTCAAGATATTGTTCACCATGCAATAGCATCATCTATCAAAATAAACGTAAGTTATAAATAATCGTATTTGATTAAAAGCATACAAGTTTAATAATCATAAATGTTATAAAAATACGCACGTAATTGAAGTCACCCAATATTGACGTAAGCGGAAAAGTACCTAATTGATTAACTGCTGGAATAACACCAAATGTTGGTAAAACATGAAAATTTTCACTATTTTCATAAACCCATTGTAAATCCTTTCGAGTGGCGCCAACACCTAACGCGTAAAGAATTACGTCTCGCTCTTGATATTCACTAACAGACGAATCATATTTCTGTCTTTTAGCTGCTTCTACATCAATTTTTCCAGTTGTAGATTTTTTTGTAGGTTCAGAAGTTTCAGATGATTGAGCACTGGCAAAATTTTCAAAGAACTGCTGAAGAGCTTCTTGTGTAGTTCTAGGATGTGTGGCACGACCATCATTAAAATTCGTGATTACATCCCATTTTTTAGAAATATCTTCTGGCAAGAGAGGTTTGGAAGTAGGAAAGCCAATACCACCTGAACGTTGCCAACGAACTTGGGCAATCCATCCACCACCAACTTCAAATACATTTCCAGTTGAAGGACACGACTCGTGTGAAAGAAAAGCGACAAAAGGTGCCACATAATCCGGTTTGAAAGCTTCAACCATTTCTGGTGGCCAAATAGTAGCTGTCATACGGGTTCCAGCAGTAGGTGCAATAGTGTTTACAAGAATGTTATTTTTACGACCTTCCAATGCAAGCGTATTGCTGAACCCAAGAATTCCAAGTTTTGCTATATTCGAAAATTTATTCGTTAAAATTATATCAAGGAAATAGAAAATAAATCAAATGTAAATTGAAAAAAAAATATATATATGTATATATTATACCAGCGCTGTAGTTAGCCTGCCCAAAGTTGCCATAAAGGCCAACAGAAGAACATGTATTTATTATACGACCATATTTTTGTTTTGTAAAGTGAGGCCAAGCGGCTTTTGTAACTTTATAAGTACCACGTAAATGAACCTTTTGTACTAAATCCCAATCGTCATCGGACATTCTAGCAAAAGATTTATCTCTCAAGACACCCGCATTATTAATAATAATGTCAACGCGTCCAAAAGCTTTTATGGCAGTCTCAATTATTTTATCGCCGTCTTCCACAGAATCGTAATTAGCCACGGCCTTACCACCAGCGTGACGTATTTCTTCAACAACTTTATCTGCAGCGTTGGATGATTGTCCCGCGCCATGAGTGCTAACACCCAAATCATTTACAACAAGGGAGGCACCTAGTCGTCCAAATAGAACTGCATATGCTCTACCTAATCCACCACCGGCACCAGTAACAACGACAACTTTACCGTCAAATCGGAGGTCTTCTCCTCTAGGGTTAGATGGTAAAGCTTTTGATTGCTCGATGAAACTAACAATGTCAGTATCACCCATAGAAGTAGGGTATTGTGGTTGAGAAAAATCAGTAATTTCTGGCCATTTTGGGATCACAGTGCCCGGTAAAAATGAATCATCAGTTTTAAATAAGGCGCCTTTAGAACGTTCCCACCGAAGTTTAGCGACAAAACCAGCTCCGACTTCGAACAAGCTACCGGTCTCTTTAGTTGATTCGTGGCATAAATATAGGACAAGAGGAGCAACATAATCCGGTTTAAGGGATTTCAAAATATCCGGCGGCATTATAGTTTCAGTCATACGTGATGCAGCAATTGGAGCGATTACATTAGCGTGAATGTTATCCTTAACACCTTCTTTAGCGAGTGTTTCGGTAAAACTGACCAATGCAAGTTTAGCTGTTCATTTTCAAACGTTGTAATGATCAAATAAAAATGGTAAATATTTTTGACAATACCAAATAAAGTCAAGTTCCGTTGTTATCGACTTCATTATATCAACATTCCTCTTAGCAAAGAATGAACATCAATTCCTGAGTGTTGATAGTGTTGATAACAACGGTATACGATTTCAAATTGTGTAATCCAAGGATTGGAATGTTACCTGCACTGTAATTAGCTTGACCAAAATTGCCATATATACCAGCGGCCGAAGCTGTATTGATAATTCTTCCAAATTTTTGCTTTCGAAAGAGATTCCAAGCAGCTTTGGTAACTTTGTATGAACCACGAACATGAACAGTTTGAATTAGATCCCAATCTTGATCTGTCATTCTTGAAAATGATTTATCACGTAAAATTCTAAAAGTAATGAATCGATTAATAATGTAAAAAAGTAACCCGATTTATTTATAAAAAAAACAAAAAGTATTTTATTAAATTATTACCCAGCATTATTAATTACAATGTCCACACGGCCAAATGCTTTAACGGCAGTTTCGACAATTCTATCACCATTATCTACAGAATCATAATTTGCAACCGCCTTACCACCTGCGTGAACAATTTCATCTACAACTTTATCAGCAGCAGCAGTAGAGGAGCGTCCATTACCATCCCGCGAGCCACCAAGATCATTAACAACAACATTAGCACCTCGTGCAGCGAAAGCGAGCGCATATGCACGCCCGAGGCCTAAATAAAAGATAAAAATGAAAAAAAAGATTTTATCAAACAGCACATCTCAAGCAACTACCTTTCATAACAATGCTTTACTTACCACCTCCGGCGCCAGTAACGATGACAGTACGTCCGTCGAATCGAAGTGTATGTGCCATAGTTCTACTATAAAAATTAATTGAATAAAAGTGATTCCTTTATAAAAGTCATTTACAATTAATAATTCACCTCGTATTAAAGCTTAATAAATAAGCTACATAAATTGTCAATGAGGAACTAAAATTCAAACAAAATTTTAATTGCAAAACTTATACATAGATATTTGTCAATGACAAACAAGCATACCAATAAAGACGTTTATAATTTAAATTTTTAGAAATAAAAATTATCACAATAAAAAATAATCTTATCGATCTGAAATTTTGATGTTTGCTTACTGATTGGCGCCCTTACATAATAGGTCTAGGGATGTTAATCGATGATGCAGCTGATTTTAACGTTACGTTACCTTTTTAAAAGTATATATTTGACTATATACTGTAATAAGAAAAGTTATAGTGAAGATACTTTTTCTACGTATAACTTTTTTGACAAAGACGAGATAATGCTAACAGCTAACACTAATATAATAGCTCAAAATTTTACTACGAGTCCTAAAATTTATTTTTAATTATAAGGTTAGGACAGCCAGATATACGACACTGACTCAGTATAGTTATTAAAAAATAGTTCTTCAGATTGGCATTTTGTGAAATACGATTACGTACATAGTAATTTACAATTACCTAAAATAATTATTTTATTTTGTAACAATAGTATATACTAAAGTATACTAGAGACAATGGGTTTGGAGAATCTTACGCACGTGCAGAATGCACCTGATCAGGTAGAGTGTGCATTTAATTGGTTAAAATTAAAGTTTAACAGATAACGATAACGATAATCATTCAACTGAAGATTAAGACTTTTACCATTTGTGTAACCCGAGCTTCTGAGTTTGATTAATTATGCTACTAAGTAAAGTTTCTCGGATCGTAATTTTGCTTCGCAGGTCCGATCCGAGGTCCGAATCTGAATCGGCGGCCGAATTTCGGAAGCTCGGGTTACTCGAAATGGTAAAATTTTGGACATCACTAACCTATTACTATAAACCTCAACTAGTCAATTAGTCGATTGGTCAATCGACTAACTAGTCTACACTAAAGCGAAGGACTGTATATTTCCGTGCAAAGTGCAGAAGTGATGAAAATGTTTGTTTGTCCGTCTGTACACGTGATGGTAATCCAATCACATTTTAGCACATCATAAGAAGATCATCCAATTAAATTATTTGAAATAATCCTGTAATCTAGTTGTCGCCGGCGGTAACAGCAACTGACTGTGAACGGAATCAGATGGGCCATTTCGGGTTACACGAACGTTACATTTGATCCAATGATATGATTGGCCAATTGCAACCCGGTGACCGGCAACAAATGATTTACCTTATCAGTTATCTCTTACATTTGATGAGTTGAACTTGTCATGCAGAAAATACGATGATTTAAATTACTTTTGAATTTTTGATGCAAATTATCATTCTGGCATGTTTTATCTCTTGGTCTTGGATGAGTTTTGAATTGGTAGCGAACCATGTAAGCCAAAGAAAAGTGCAAATAATATTATAATGTTGGTCAGTAATGAAGTTATAACTTGTACAAAAGTGCAGTATATTATCATCTACCACTATTTTTTTTTTCTTGTAAAAGTACTGTATTATGGAAGGTTCGCTAGCTAGATTTTTCAATTTAACAGTTCAGATGTTCCATAAAGATTTAAGACCTCAAATTTCAGCATCAGCCAACTTCAGCATCAACCGCGACATTTATTATTATATCTATAAAGGCATCTTTTATTAAACATCTTGCTTTATAGAATTTAAAATGTTAAATACTATAACTGAAATTAAAGATGAAGTAACATCAATTTTTTTATAATTATTTAATAATACGTAGAACGCAAATTCAAAAATTTCACTATAAAAAATCCCATTCTATACTATGTTCAAAAGTATACTCTGATATTTCAACGTTCCCTGTGGTTGATCATACGAATTCTTGTTAATCAACATAAAAACTACCTGCTTTAGACGATCCCCATTGGGGCAATGGGCTAAAAATTTTGATTTTGTAATTATGATAAAATGCCATAATGCCATAAATCAGTATTCTACCATCAATTATAGGTTTATAGGAACAAAAAAAGGTCAAAAAAGCCCAGGACAGTCAAAATGTATAACATTGCGATACAGATTACTATTAGAATGGATATTACTTAACAAAATAAGAAGTTTAGTGCACCTAGCGGTTAAAGGCGTTAGTCCTTTGATTAAAATCGACAAAATAATTATATAATAATTACGATCGATTATCCGAACTTTCATTTATTTTTCCTAATTGCATTTCCTTAGCTTCGGCTCTAGCCTGTTTGATCTGCTTGTATTCTTCCTCTGATAACTTTTTAATACCAGTCCATTTTTTTGCGGCGAGCCAATTGAGCAACCCTTCCGTCATTTTTTTGTCTTTCGATTCTTTTTTATCATTATTCGAAATTTCTTTGGTCATGGAATTTGACATAGGCGGGGGGTATGGTTGTATATTTTTCGTTTTAAGAATTAACTGATGTCTATAGTTATATGCACTAGTATAACAAACATGTCCCAAGCCACTTATAAAAGAGAACAGAAAGATGCTAGATAGAAGGCCTTGGCGGCCATCTTGAAGTAAATAAAGAAAAATGAAACTCATAAAGAGTTGATATACGGTGTGAAAGTTTCTAAAACATTCACATGTAGAGGAAAATCTCGGAAAACTACTCACGGATAATTGCCGAGAACAAACCACCAGTCAAGCCACCAGCAATAATACTGCTGATGAGCTCGTCTATGTTTCGTGTATCATAATTTCTAAGTTTATTTTTTTGTTGATGCGCTAAGCATAGCTCTCGGATACCTTGATAGAAAAAAAAATAAGTGCAAAATATTTCATATCGGGTGCAAATAGATAAAATATGAGCATACTGAAAAATGAAAGTCCAAAAATTCCGCAATTAAGGCCTGTAGCAATTGTATAACGAAGAAAAGAGCGGTTATAAAAAAAAGCAACTAATCCACCGCAGGTTGCTCCAGCACTGACTTAGGTTTCAAGAACAAATGCATAAATTATACATTCAATAAATTTACTGATTCAAACATCAATTGCGACAAGAGAAGGGAACGAATGAATATAAACCAGATAAAAACGTCCCAGTATAAATTCTATTTCGCGATTCTTCAGTCCACTTTCGATGAGAAGCCATGTACGTCAGTGTATAAAATTCAATAAAATTTATGGTGTACAATTTTTTGAAATTTTTTTAAATGTGCACAAAAAAATTTTTCTTATCGTTATCATGATAAGCTCATTACCAAACTTTAACAATATCAAATAAATTTGAAATAACTTATTTCATCGTTTTTAACCGTTTAAAGTAATATAAACTTGCTGTTTTAATTTATAATAGGAATATATGAAATGATTAAGATCTAGTAATGGATGCCAAATCATTAACTCTGAAACCCACTATTAGTAGTAAATATCACCGTTATCTCCCTTTTGCGTGTATCTATAAACGTATCTTATGATAAATTTTTTTATTAATTTAAAGGTTACTTTATATGAAGTTTCTTTCGTTTCCTATTAGTGTTAAATTTTTTAAGAATTATATAATTTGGTTCGTTAATTGTTACGAGTAATCAAATCACAAAAATAAAGAGCAATATGTTTTGGTTTCTAAACAAGTATGTTATGCTTATGCACAGTGAAAGTTAGCGATGTTTTATTAGTAAAAACATCAAGTTCCAAAAAAAGACTTAAGTTACCCGGGCAATTGATTGAAACATTACTAGAAAATGAAAAAACTTTCATCTATAAAACCAATAGATAGATATACTTAACGTTAAGGTGGGGTAAAAAGTGGTACATATAAAAACCTCACTATATATCACGTTTTTATTAAAATAATTTAATATTAAACATATAAAAAAATACCTCTATAAAAGCACAACCTTTTTTTTTAAAAAAAGTTCTTAAGCAAGCACGACTGTATATAGTTATTATTAATAATTAATAAACCAAGATTTATCGTAATAAGGCGGTTTTTAACAAAACTTTCCTGGTTATCTTCATTCTACAGTATAATTTGAGATGGTTCAATAAACAGTATGCATATTTTGTCTTCTAAGCTAAGTTCTTCATAAGCGACTTTGCTTAAGCTATAAACGATATTCGCGCTGATTTTTTATTAATGAGTGTTGCGTCCCCAAAAAGTACGTACAAATAAATAGATTACCCCGAGTCCTAGTATATATTAAGTGATGTATCGATCCTGTGATTTACAATCGTGGTTATATGACAATTAACAATAACGATAGGATTTAACGTTACTAATAAATCTTTTCTTCTCCATAATGGCTGATTTCGAGACTTCAAATAACACACCACCTTTTAACTCTTCACATTCTACGATCCCACCCCCTTCTTCACCAGTTTCACAGGCTGTTTCTGCCTTTTCAAGTTCGCAAGTAGAATTCCAATGTTTCCCATCCTCAACGGTTGTTTCGCGTCCACAAAGAACTGATAGCGAACAAGAAGAAGTACGTCAAAGTGCCGTCAACGCTTTACACCAATACTCTATATTAGCCATGCATGTAATTGCTAGTGAAGAGGTGGGTTTTATTAGTGATCAGATTTACTATTACCCAAGTTTATCAAATGTTTAATTTTTCTATTATAATAATCTCGAAAATAAGTCACCTGCACAAACAAGGCTACGGATGTTACGGTATGTTGTTTTTAATTGTTAAAATACAGAAAGACTTCCTTAAATGCACCCCCCTCGGGACCATGGTAAAAATATATATAGAGTAAAATTTATAGTGCTATATATTATAAGCTAAGGATCTGACCTAAAGATATTTTACATGGAGAGTGTGTTTATGGAGATTATGGAGGGTACGCTTAAGAAGGTCTCTCTGTACTATTTTTAAAATTAACTAACAACCCAATTTTTTTTGTTTACAATAAATTATTATTTACAATATTAATAAAGGCATTTAACTAGTTAATTACAATAAATTGTTGGTTTTTTTTTATATATAATTTAAAATTTTGAATAGTATTTATTTTTTTTGTTAATAAATTAAAAATAAAGCTTATTATTATTATTATTATTATATATTATACAGCCCAGTAGGAATCATAAGTATAACTTTTTAAATAGAAAAGCTACAATTTTAAAATTTTTACAGTAAATAGGATTAAATAAAGGATAAATATATGCGTCGCATGCTGCTATATGTTTATACATCGCATCTACAGTCAGAACTCCATAAATGCACACTCCATAAATGCACGGACTAAGTAAAAACTCTCTAAATGCACGACATTGTCTGGTCCCAACTCATAAGAGCTATATATAATTTCTACTCTATAAATGCACACACTCTCTAAGTGCACTATTTCAAATTTTTTTTCTTATGGTCCCGACAGCAGTGCATTTACGGAGTTCTGATGGTATTTTTTTGTTTGGTTAGGGTTAGGCAGAGTTAGGGTGCAATATAGGTGAATATTTATAGTAAAATTTTGTAAGGAATTTTTGTTGTTAGAGCGCGAAAGATAGTTTCATATATGAAATTTTGAGTTATAAGCAACTTTTGTTAATCCTGATCGTGCTATATTACACCTGATCTTGAAATTTGATTAGTCAATCATCAATAAGCACATTGCAGGTTGCGATTCCTAATTAAGTTTTTAAATATAGATTAGTATTAACATTTCATATTTTTTTAATTACTATAACAAAAGTTAGATCAGAGCTAAAATTTTAATAAATTTTGTTAATAAAATTAAAAATTAATTAAATTTAATTGATAATCTGCCAGTTAATTGGAAAATTTTAATATAATAATGTGATGTAAATCACATATAAGCAAGACCTGAATTCTGTTTTTTTTTTTCAGCAATTCTGTTTATTTTATTATGAGAACAGACTTTTATTCTTATATTAACATATGAAGAAATTTAAATCTATAATGTTCCAACCAAAAGATAAACTTACTTATGGCATACCTTGCAGATGTTAAAACACCCATTTGCAGTCAGAGTGAACTATTAAACTGATGTGTTTTGTTCAGATGTGACCTGCCTAGCAAATAATTGGCCTCCTTCAGAGATCTGGAACTTACTTCAGACTTATTTTCTCTGAATTTCCCAGCTAGCTGTTGCATCACTCCATCAAGATTTTCATCTTACAATAGAATATTACCAAACTGATGATACTTTTTCATAGAGAAGAAAAAAAAATAATAGAGAATGAAAAAAGGAGTATATAATAAAAACTAATACATCAAAGAAAACGGATACTAATACTAAAGAATATAAAAACTAAACTAAAACCTAAAAGATACTATTACTAATAAGAAGAAAACTTGCTATCAGGCGAAAACTTCTAATTGTCTGAAGCAAAGTGGAAAACTTATACTTTTATGTCTTTTAATAACCAAAATTTCTTTTTTAATACATTTATATTAAAAATATCAAAAAAATAGTTTTGGTATTTTTTATTTATCACTTTTGTTTTTATATAGTTAAGTCAAAATTTTACTAAATAAATTGATTCTGTTTATTAAGTAAAAATTGTTCAGAAAATCAATACACATATATTTTAAAATTTTTATATAATTTGGCCAATTTTTTATTAATATGTTTTTGTAATTTATATTAAAAAATTGATTAAATTTTTTTTTATAAATTTTTATTTAATAACAATAAAAATTAAATATTAACTAACAAAAATTATTGTAATTATATAAAATTTTAGAATATATGTAATTTGATTTTCTAAACAATTTTCACTTAATAGACATAATCAATTTACAGTACTTAGTCAAATTTTAACTTTATTATATAGAATATATTATAAATTAATTAAAAAACATTATTTTTTATTTAAAAAATAATTTACTTTTAAAAATATATGATACTTATATTTCAGACTCACACTGGTTTTCAGTTTCTAGTTATACAGAGTAACAATCTACTATTAAGTACGAGAGTCTTGACAAGAAATTTAAAACTAAAATAAAATACACTATAATTCGTACTAGAGGCTAAAAATTATATACAGGTGACTAGAGAATGTCTGTATATTTCTTATTACTTTGCTTTACTTTTTCAATTAAATCCATATCTTTATCCAAAAGTATAAGAATTTTGACATCTCTATATAACCTGTCTAATAATAGTATTATGTATTTATATGTTCTCAACAACATAACATATAAGATATTCTTCTAAACACTCATTCAATTACTAAATTCAGCAGCACTATCCATTTTACATATGTTGTTTGTTATTATGTAAAGTTTTCTAATATAGAAATAGTAAACATTGCTGATCTTTTGAAGGGATTTGCCAAATTTCCACTTTTTGTTAAAAGTTATGGCCAAAAGTATTAAAGGGAAAAAATACTGTATTGCGAGAACTTAAAACAAAGAAAGTATTTCTAGTTGTTTTTTATAAAACTAAAAAGCTTCAGA